GCTGTGGGTCCTGGTACCTGGCGCCCCATGCCAGGGCTCATGATGCCAACGGCACCAGGTTTGTGGTACCTGGGGTCGGGATGGCCTGACCCTGCCCCTGCAAGGCCGAGATCTGTTCCCAGGAGGGTTGAGGGAGTGTTGGGTGTGGGGTTCCTGGAGGCCTCTCTCGTGCACTCTGGGTCTGTCAGGAGGCTGGCAACTGTGGCCAGACAGATAGAAACAAAACCTAAAATGAGAAAAAAACTTTTTTGTAGAACTTCCCAGAGAGCAATGAGCTGGTGCCAGTGGGTCAGAGGCTTGTCACGTGTGGGGGGGTGTGTGTGCGTGCACGTGCACGCTCTGTGGGGTGTGTGCACATTTCCCAGTGTGGCTGTGCGTGTGTGTGTGGACACATGCACACGTGTGTTCAGAGAACACCACGCTTTGCCCTGACTCCTGGCTCAGGCCTGAGTCCCCAGCCATGGTGTCCGCGTTCCTCCCCTGTTCCTTCTCTGCTCTGCACACTGGGAACCAGGACGAGAGGCATGCGGGGCCAGGCTGTGTGCTTCCCCCACCCACCCTGAGCCCACACTGCTCTGGAGGGAGACCCCGGCTTCCCCCGCCCACCCCAAGCCCACACCGCTCTGGAGGGAGACCCCAGACCCCTCAGTCCCTTTCCTGCATCTGAAAGGGCCAGGGCAGGGCGTCTGGCAGGTGAAGCTCCCCTTAAAGCCAGGTCTGGGCTGGTTTACAGGGAAGCACTGCTCGTGGACCACCCGGTAGATCACACCGGCGCTGCACACACAGGCACCCTCGTGGCCACACATGCCTGCACCCGCACACTTCTGGTTCACATGCCCACACTCACGCGGCTTCTGCACACCACACAGCCAGCAGGTGAGGAAGTGGATGCAGCGTGGCTGTCTCTTGGCGGCTTCACCTGGAATGTCCCTGTGGACCCCAGAGCCCGAAGTCCTGGCAAGCACAGAAATCACACCGGCAGCCGTGCAGCCCCCACCTGTCCTGCTTTTGGCAGGTGAGGCCTGGCTGAGAAAAGTGGGGAAGGAGAGGGAGGATGTGGGGGCCACGTCCTGCTTCTCCGCCAACCTCGGGTTTAGCGTGCTCCCTTCGACTACTGGCTCCATTTGTGATGTCGTTTACTTTCTGCTTGTATTTTTCCTGGTATCGAGTAAAGTCTCCCAGAAGCATCAAATTGGGTTTTTTTACAAGTGCCCTGTGCTGTCGCCTCATCTGCTTTGGTGCGCCGTGGTCACGTGGGCCTGTGCCGTGGTCACACGGGCCTGTGCCATGGGTCACGCGGGCCTGTGCCATGGCCGTGGGTCAGACGGGCGTGCTGTGGGTCAGGTGGGCCTCGTTCCCGCAGGAACACCTGGCTCTGCAGCAGTGGCCGCCATGTCATCCTGGCCAGGCCCCTGCACTGAGGGTGGAGCCACGGGGTCTCTGATGCCTTCCTTCTCGTGCTTTGGTGGAGAATGTGGCTGGACGTCCTCCCATGAGGGACGTGTTCTCCGGCCTGGTTCGCTGGCCCCTGGCCCCAGGCCCAGCCCCGCAAGGCGCCCCGTGGGCTTCACCTGGAAGTGTCACCTCTGGCTGCTGTTGCGGGTGATGAGGATTCCAGGGCTGCAAACAGGACCCTAGGCGCTGTCCACACAGCGTGGCAATCTCTTAAATTAACACAGTGTGGGGGGAATCGGGGTTGAAACCGGTTTGTGAGCCAGATTTTCTGTCCCTGTGGGGACTTCCTTGGGGCAATTTGAAAAATGCGGGTTTTACTTGTAGGCCCTAAATGCATAATTTCCCTTTAGGCTGACGGCTGCTCCTGTGCCCTGCCCGGAGAGGAGCCTGACTCCAGGTCGCCTTGGCTCCATTTCTGTGCAGCAGCTCAGACTATGGGGCGGAGGGTGAGACATTCCTAATCGTGAGCTGCCTCTGTCCACCCCACACCTCCCTCCCCTGCGTGCGCACAGCTGAGTTCCGCATTGAATACATTTGGCCTCAATCATCCTCTACCCGTCATGTCACCTTGTAAGTGCTGAGGCCAGCACAGGAGCTAAAAACAAACATTTTAATGTATAGGAAACTCAGAAACACTTACACCTCAGCAGTAGAATAATACATTTTGTTTAGTTAAGGTTCAGGCAAAGGGAGGTCATTGTTGTGACAGGTAATTTTATAAATAGGATTCTGACAGGTTCTGTACTGTGCCAGAGGCAGAAAGCCCGTGCAGTGGGGCCCGTGACGTATTTAAATTACTTTTCTTAAAATGAACTTCATGTTTTAAATAATAGATGTTTACCTCCCAGGTTACACCTTAAATATTCCCATTTTCACTGAAATGGCATGTTTTTTAAAGGATACAGTCATACGCCAAATTCACAGCATTCCACACACCATCAGAGAACTGCCACAGGGATCCTGGGGGAATTTTAAATTGTAGTTTAAGACCACGTGACCCTGGCCAGGCCCTTGGAGCTGCCCCGGCGCCCCTCCCCCACCCCCAGAGGTGGTTTTGGTCAGAGACTCATTTACATTTTTTCTATGTAAATTAAGTTTTTACATATTAAATCTCGGAAAATGGAATACTGTGTGGCAGAATCTGCCTCTTAATCTCTGCTTCTCTTCTTACATTTCCCATCATAAAGGTGTTTGAATCCTACAGAGAGTTAAGGTATCTCAGGAAGTTCATTCATTTGGCAAAAGGCTGGAGTCTGTCTTCCGAGGAACTGAGGGCTGGACAGGCAGGTCCCAGCATCCCCCGTCCTGACTGTGGAGACACTTGTGTATTCATGCGGGAAGAAGGGGCTGCAGTGGAAAGGGAAAGGCTTGTTCTGTGGAGTTACGTGGTCTTAGCTGTAATCACTTTGGAATGGGGTGCTGGTGGCTTTGGGTGCAGAGACTCCTGTGGGCATCTGACACATCAGAGCTGTGTCCTCGTCCCTGTCTGTGGCTTCCCCACCGTGTTCCCACGTGACGCCTTCGTTCAGCCTCTGGCTTTGTATTTCAGACCCCAAACGCCCCTTCAATGTCTCAGCTGGGGCCTGGGTCCCAGCTCGGCCTCACGCAGCGTCCCAGGCCCTGCCCATCAGTCTGGGCCTCATGGTCAGGCCCTCGGTGACAGCAGCCATCGCTTCACTGTGGCCTCCTCCCTGGGGGGCTCTGAGTTCAGCTGCCAGTGAGATTGGTTTGTTCTTTACTGTGGTGACCGCACGGAGGCTGAGGCTGAGCTGGAGCCACGGAGCAGGGGCCGCCTCTTCGCCTGCCCAGGCCCCTGCAGGCCCATCTCCCCTCTGCCCACTGACATCTGAGAATCCTCCGTCCCCTGCAGTCTGAGGGGCAGCCCCCGGCTCGGGCTCCCCAACCTTCTCCCCCGCCTTGCTGGCCCTGAGTGGGCGCCAGGCATCTGCGTGGTGGGGGCAGATATCGCATTTTCCTGTGGCTGGAACGTGCCTGCAGGAGCCCAGGCTTGGAGCCTTCACATGGTGGTAGTGCTGCAGTTGCCATCGGTGGTCAAAGATTTTAAAGTTAGTTTAGTGAGAAAATCAACTCCAAACGTGATCAGAGGGGTTGACGCGTTCCAGGATGAGTGGTTCTTGGGCTGGGTGTTGCCACGGGCCTTGCACAGATTTTGCTGATTAATCTCAGGGCTCTGAGGCTGGTGCCCATCAGGCCCCACTTGGGGGATGCAGAAAGGAAGGCGCTCTGAACGAGGGGCCCTGTGAGAGGCCCCACTGTGCAAAGGATTTGACTCCTGCGGCCTCCCTCTAGGCCTGTGTGCTTGCTTTGAGAATCAGACGTTCGTGTTCCAAACCAAATTGGCCTCTTTCAAATAGAATCACACTACAGTGATTGTAAATGGGAGCGTTAAAGATAAAAACAAACATTTCTAAAAATGACTCACTGCCGAAGGCGGAACCACGCCTTCATGGTACGGAGAAGGAGGGTGAGAGGCAGCAGCACTGCACCTTGCATTTACCTCTCAGACACCAATGAGCAACTCACCCCTCAGAACAGCTGGTCCTGAACACATGTGTGCCCTGCCGAGAGGCGCAGACCTTCCCAGAGGCGGGAGCGGGACCCGGCCACCCATGTCCTGGCAGAAGCACCGGGGCTGCTCCATTTGGCCAGAGTCTTATCCCAGTGATGTGAGTTTTGAGTCTCATACACAAAGCACTGGCCGAGAAGCCATGAGCGGCTCTGCAGGGTGGTGCGGACGATAGACACCTCCATGCACGGTTGCCCTGGGCAGTGTCTGCCACCAGCGTCTACCTCTGCTCAGCTGCCAGGACGGTGTTGAGCACTCCCCTACTCCCCTGCCTCTGCCAGAAGAGAGGTGTAGGGAGCCATCAGGAAGGGTGCTGGGGCCCGAGGCCCGTCGTGCCGTGTGTGTGCACACACAGTGTGGCATCCCTGGTCAGGAGTGGGAGCTGCACGCTGCCCAGTTCCAGGTTAATGGAACACAGGAAGATGGGTCGTGTCCTGCAGGGCCTCATCTGGATTTACTGGTGAAGCGAGCCTTGCCCGTGGCTTAGCGAGGGCTCAGCTTTCCTGCACAGCTTCACCGTGGCCTCGGCGTGGGCACACACAGTGAGCATGTGTGGATGCATACGTGTGCACATCCATGCCCACACGTGTGAGAGTGCAAGTATGTGTGCAGGTGTGTACATACGTGTGTGTGTGTTTGAAAGTGGCCACAGGTGTGTTCAAAGCCTAACCCTCAGTGTCCAGGTCCATTAGGATAACAAAGCATTTTCTAATCTGCTTTACAAAGACACCAGTATGATACGGCAGAAAAATACAAAGTGGGTAGGACAGGGGGACGCAGGCCTCGAACCCACTGCAGGTTTTCCCTGCGTTCCGGTGACTCCCAGGGGCCTGCGCTCTGGGTGGTGAGTGGGTGTTTTCCACAGGCCTTGAACCCACCGCAGGTTTTCTCTGCATTCGGTGACTCCCAGGGGTCCGCACTCTGGGTGCTGAGTGGGTGCTTCCTCTTCTCTCGCCAGCTCCACGGCTACTTGGAGAGTGAGCCGCTGATGCTGCAGCTTTTCATCGGGACAGCGGACGACCGCCTGCTGCGCCCGCACGCCTTCTACCAGGTGCACCGTATCACGGGGAAGACCGTGTCCACCACCAGCCACGAGGCCATCCTCTCCAACACCAAAGTCCTGGAGATCCCGCTCCTGCCGGAGAACAGCATGCGAGCCGTGTAAGCGCGGGGACCTTCGACCTTTGACCTCTGGCGGGGGCGGTGGGTGGGGCGTGCCTTCCTCCTGGCCTTGGGGGGTCTGGCCAGCCCCCTGCACTTCCAAGCTCCATGGCTAGGACACTCTTGGTTTAACAGCCAGTAAGTAAACCTCGCTCTTGCTTTTGACAATGGATTTGCTTCTCTCTAGGGTTTCAGCTCTGTGTATGTTGCCACTTAAAATAATACCTCAGATACGCAGCTATAAATACCTCCCTCTGCATTTAGCTCCTAAACAGGACCCCTGTTTCTTTCTGAATACAGCAGTTTTGTAATGAGAAGGATGGTTAAAACGTGAGCATCAAAAAATTAAAGCAGTCAGCATATCCGGATCATGTTGAACTTTAGGAGGTTCGAACAACACGGATAGGCCTGCACTGACGTTCTGAGTCTAATTTGGCACGGTAATTTGTTTAAAAGTGAATTTTTTAGTAAGCCGAGGACAAAACATGTAATTTCCAAATAAGGCCTTACTTAATCCCAGCTTGTGCTGGGCACGCTGGCCCTGACCTGTGAAGGCAGCCGGGAAAGAGGACTGCCGGTTCCTGAGAGATTCCCATGGTACCGTGGTGGGAACAGATGACAAACACGTCTATGGGTGAATGAGCGCAGGTTGAGCTGGGATGGCTGGAATGTACAGACCAGCAGGATAGAGCCGGGCCGAAGGGCAGGGACAGCGTCCTATGAGGGTGACCCGCAGGCCGGGAGCCCGTGTGATGGCAAAGCTGTGGGGGGGTGCCCTATGGGGGTGCCCCATCCAGGTGGAGCCCCGGGGGTGGGTGCAGAGGTCCTGGGGCTGCAGGAGTGGGGAGGAGCCCCACACGGGGAGGGACAGCATGTAGGAGATGGCGGCAGGGGCCACGTCAGGCATTTTAATAAATGACTCAAAGCCTCTAAGTCTAAAACAAAGGGAACGCTTTCTCTCCGCGTTGGCTTTTCAAGTGTTGGGGGAAATGTGTGCACCTGGGAACTCATTCTGAATCCCTGGGTTTGCCTGGAGAGCTATAATCCAAGTTTCCTGCAGACAGGGCACAGTCAGGTGGTTTTCGAGAACAAACCTTGTGTTCCGCAGCCGCAGTAAATGTCCTGGCTTCGCTGGCGGCTGTGTTCACCCCACCATGATGTAGGGCGGCAAGGCTGGCCGGGAGACGCCCACAGCCAGGACCGCACGCCAGCCTGGTGCTGGCTGCCGACTCAAGGGTGGTCAGGGTGTCTCTGTTTATTCTCATTCTCTTAACTAAAAAATACTGCTTTTTAGTGCATTGAGAATATACACATGGAATGTTTTACTGGAGTCTAATTTTGAATGAAATTGTTAAGTTAAAAGAGATTATATGAAACCATAGAAGAAACGGGTTTTACACACAAAAAATGAAGGCTTTTAAATATAGTGGAACTAATAGCATCTTCTGATAAATCAAGTTTTTTGGGAACTACTCCAAGATAAGAGAGAGCAGCAGGTGCCTCCGGCCCCTCCCTTGGGCTGCTCTCTGCCGCTCTGGTGACATCCCCGTGTACGTGGCCCGCTTAGGTGCTAGAGGCAGCCAGGACTCGGGACAGCTCTGACTGGACCCACTTGGTCAGGGCTGGAGGCTGGAGGGAAGGTGGGAAGGGGAAGGGGAAGGTAGAAGTCGCTTTTCTTGGGGCTGCCTCCGCTCGCCCCCTCTCGCCTGTGCCGGCGTCGGATTCTGTTCTGCTCTAGGCAAGGGCCTCACGTTGGCAGCTTCAAGGTCTTGTTTTCCTCAGGGGAGGGACAGTGGCCAGCTCCCTGGCATGAGCTCGCGGGGCTAGGGGGAGGGCCAGGGGGTGTGGGGGCCGGGCCTTTCTGCTCCCGTGTCAGCTAGTGAAGGAAAAGCTGTGGGCTTTTGTTTTGGGCAGCATTGACTGTGCTGGAATCCTGAAGCTCAGAAACTCCGACATTGAACTTCGGAAAGGAGAGACGGACATCGGGAGGAAGAACACACGGGTACGGCTGGTGTTCCGTGTTCACGTCCCGCAGCCCAGCGGCCGCACGCTGTCCCTGCAGGTGGCCTCCAACCCCATCGAATGTTGTAAGTGGACACCTGCGCGCCGCAGGGGAAGGAAACCATCGGCGTCCCACGTGCTGTCGCTGTCTCTCCCTCTCTCAGCTTTTCGTTTGTGTAGACTTGATACTAAACTGTTCCACCAAACCCACCACAGTGTGTGGCCACGTGGGGTCTGAGTTGATCACGGCTGAGTTACTGCCTGTGGCCCTCCTGGGGGCCCCTGGCTCTGGCTCCTCTGACGCCCGAGCATGGCCAGGGAACGCGGTGTGGGCCGGGGCTTCCCCCACGCGCTGTGCTGACCTTTGCGTATTTGTGCGGTGACTGTGATTTGAGTGAAACTGGCTGAGTCTTAGGAGGATATTTCGATGCCTTCTTCAGCATGAGGTGGAGACCATGAGGATTCATGTGCATGGCTTCTCCCCTAGGAGTAATGGCGTCCGCAGGACTCAGCCCGCAGGCCGTGGCGGTGCTTGCCCTGGGTGGGTGGGCTCACGTGTGACCTGCTGGGTGCCACACGTGTGCCCTGGGCCGCCCACCCAGGACAGGGCCTCACCGCCCCTCTCCCCCTGACACAGCCCAGCGCTCGGCCCAGGAGCTGCCTCTGGTGGAGAAGCAGAGCACGGACAGCTACCCGGTCATGGGTGGAAAGAAGATGGTCCTGTCTGGCCACAACTTCCTGCAGGACTCCAAGGTCATTTTCGTGGAGAAAGCGCCAGGTATGCTCTTCACCAGGGGTCATCTGTGGCCTGGGCTTCAGCGCTGGTGGGAACCGCTCCCGGTCGGTGGAGCAGGACCCACCTGTGCATGGTCACCGGGACAGGGCTTACGGGGTGTGGCACAGAGCAGAGACTCTGCGTGGACCGTGGCTGCATCCGGCTGTGAGTTTTTGTGTGAGCTGACAGCTGTGTTGCTGAAGGGAGGAGGTAGATGCTGATTGCCGGGGCCGCCACACACACATCACCACTGACACTGAGGGAGCCTGCGGGCTGGGGACGTGCGGAGGAGGGCAAAGGCGTTTGCTGGCTTTGCTGGGGTCCTTCGTCTGCAGGAAGTGGACGCTTTGGGGGTCAGTTAGCAGCAGGGCAGGAGGGAACGGCCCCTCTGGGGCCGTTCCCTCCTGCCAGCATTCCTGGGGTCAGGTGGTGTGGGTGCCACAGATGGCGGGGGCTGGGACGGTCTTTAATGCTACAGCCATGGTGTGTGTGAGGCCCTTGTGCCCTGACGGCCCGGGTCACCCCTGCCTCTAGGTGGTGTGCTGGCCCAGCCTGGAAGCTCTGGGGCTGACCTCAGAACAGCTGCGGCGGCATCTTCTGAATGATGTTCCTCCTGGGGCCGTCACGCCTGTGGTTCTGTGCTGCCCACAGGAGACGCTGTCCTGCAGGGATAGGGCTCACAAAGTGGCTCCCGGCCCAGCTCAGTTCTCTGCAGACGCTGGGCCCCAGCACTCTCATCCCAGAGCAGGGCCTGGCTGGCTCCGAGAAGAGCCTCTGAACAGTGTGGGCTGCACTGACGGGAGACTGGCGTTGCAGGGAGAGTGAGCACCAGTGTGGCTGGGCACAGGGACCCTAGCCCAGCCCTCGAGGGGGTTCAGGCAGAGTTGGCCTGGGTCTCCACAAAGCCTGCCATGAGCTCTCTGGTTTTGGGGCTTCCTGGTGCCTTGCTGGGCCTCTGCCCAGGGTGGGCCAGGTGAGGGGCACACCCCTACAAGACCTGTTTTGTGATTTTTTTTTTCTTTTTGACATTTACCAATTGGAATTTTTTTGCACTTACTCCGATCCCTGGGAGCCACGGAGGCATTCAGCCTTGATAATGGGGTCTTGATTTGTACAGTTTGCCGGAAACTTAAGTGCTTCAATCAAAATAGGCTTTAGAGGTCTTTCACGTCTAACGTGGCTTTCTGTAGAATCAGGGCATAATTGGAAAACACGTTTTAAATTATAGAGAAAACCAACTAAGGCAGTGACCAGGAAGGCATTTGCATCCCCCGTGCCTTCTCAGGAGGAGGCTAATTTTGAACTAATCTGCCCTTCAGAGCTTTCAGTGTGTCCATGCGCTGGCAGAGAAGCACTTTGCCCCCAGTATAGGGAGGTGCTTGGGCCGAGACTGGCCAGAACCATGGCTCCCAGGTTCTGCTTCTCCAAGCCCAGGCCTGAGCAGCCTCCTTGTGGTTTCCTCTGCCCAGAGAGGCCTGGGCACCTTGGCAGAGCCCCCCCCCCGAACACAGTCAGCAGAGGTGCCCCAGCTCCTGCCCTAGCCAAGTTATTGCACTAGCCGAATCAGTGTCACAGTGCCGTGGGGAAGGGCAGCCACCGGCGTCCGAGGGCCGGGAGCCAAGGGGATGCGGGACCAGCCCTGGTCTCATGTGGCCGCCCCCACGGGCAGCCCCTCCTGCCTTCATCATCGCTGTGAGCTGTGGGGTCAGCAGGCTGGAGGTGCTGCCTGTTCTGCCCTTAAGCTCGGCTGCCACGGCCACACTTCTGGGCAATGCCAGTTTGTCTGCCCATGTCCTCCTCTTGTCCCATGAGGTCAGGGCGGGTCTCTGACCCTCTCCCAGCATCAGCCGGTGTCTGGTATACAGCAGGCGAACCATAAATGAATAGGTGCTGCGCTCAAGAGCACGTGAAGCTGTGAATACTGCAGGGATGAAGCCAGACCACATTTGTGATTTTATTCTTTATAGTTAAATAAGATAATTTGCATATTCATACACACACAAGCACATTGCATGTTTTCAAAAGCAGAGAACAAACATCCACATAATTTTCTTCCTCCACTTTCGGCTTCTCAGGCGGGAGCCGTCACTTACGACACGTGCTAATGTGCGGTGAGAGGTTGGAGCCGCAAAAGGCCCCGCATCCTCATCCTGGCGACGAGTTCCTAGTTGTTTTTGGAGAAACCACTAAACTGAATATAAATTAAAAACACAATTGCCCTCTCGTCTTCTGATGGGATCGTCTGGTCTTTTTAAAGTTCTGTTTTCCACTGCTCTCGCGGATGGAACCAAGGCCGGACGTGAGCTCGGGAGGTTCGTGTCGAGGAAATCCATCAGTCGGGCAGATGAAGTGGCTTCTCCGGGAAGGGCCGCTGTGTCTCTCGGCTGTCCTCGTTCTGTGGGTGCGGACGGTTGTAGCTGTTGTGAATGTTGGACACAGGCTGGGGTCAGCTCCGCCCTGTCGTCCTCTGGAGTACATAGGAAGCTCTTTGTCCAGGCTAGCTCAGCCTCTGTGTCTCGGCCAGGCCCCCTTCAGCTGCCGTGGGTTCACAGCACCTCTGAACTTTGGGAAGTGTTGGATGGAGCGGCTGCTAGCCCTGGAAGGCTGGGAGAAGCTGGTGTTGGGCCCTCCTGAGGAAGAGAATCCCTGCAGCAGGGCTGCGCTGTGGGGAACCGGCGGGCACGGGCATAGCTCGCCGTAGCGTGGGTGCTGGGTCCCTCCGGGATGCTCCAGCTCCAGCAGGCGGGAGTGCGGTGGGTGTTCAGGTCTCAACCTGCACTCCACGGAGCTTCCTCCCAGGTCTCTCAGGGCGGCGCAAAAGGCCGGGGGGAAAAATCAGCCTTTCTCTGGGGACTTAGTTTACTGCTTCCTCGGAAAACGACATTTTCTGATGATGAAAGCCTGTGCGGAATGTTCGTCCAGGAGGCAGGTTGGCTGTGGGGCGCGGAGGGCCGAGTGTCAGCTCAGAAGCCCCTGGTAGCATTTCGGGAGGCTTTCAGTTTCCAAGGCTGCAGGGGTTCAGCTGCAGGAAGTGGGAACCAAAGTGTCAGCTCAGAAGCCCCCAGGCATTTCGGAGGCTGCTTCTCCAGAGAGGCTGCAGGGGGTTCAGCTGTGGAAGTGGGAACTACACCCTCTCCCACCCACCCTCCTCCCCTCCCCTCCCCTCTCCCACCCACACCCCGCCTGCTCCTCTCCCCTCCCCCACCCGCACCCTCCCCTCCTCTCTCTCCCACCCGCACCCCTCCCCACTCCTTCACACCTCCCGCGCACCCCCTCCCCTTCTCCCACCCGCAGACTCCCTCTCCCCTCCTCTCCCACCCGCACTCCCTCCTCCCTCTCCCACCCGCACCCCCTCCCCTCCCCTCCTCCCTCTCCCACCCACACCCCCAAGGCTTGCTCCCTTCTCCCCACCTGTAGATTTCTTCCCTTTCCTCTTCTCCCACCTACACACCCGCCTGCTCCCCTCTCTCCCACCCGCACTCTCCTCCTCTCCCACCCGCGCACCCCTCCCCACCTTCACACTCGCACCCTCCCTCTCCCACCCACACCCTGTCTGCTCCCCTCTCCACCAAGACCTCCTCCCTCCCCCCTCTCCCACCCGCACCCCCTCCTCCTCTCCCACCCGCACCCCCCCCCCCCCCCCCCCCCCCCCCCCCCCCCCCCCCCCCCCCCCCCGCCCCCCCCCCCCCCCCCCCCCCCCCCCCCCCCCCCCCCCCCCCCCCCCTCCCCTCCCCTCTCCCACCCGCACCCCTCCCCACCTTCACACCCGCACCCCTCTCCTCTCCCACCCACACCCCGTCTGCTCCCCTCTCCCACCCGTACCCCTCCCCACCTTCACACCCACACCCCTCCTCTCTCCCACCCGCACCCTCCCCTCCCCTCTCCCACCCACAGCCCCTCCGTTCCCCTCTCCCACCCGCACCCCTCCCCACCTTCACACCCGCACCCCTCCCTTCTCCCACCCGCACCCCCTCCGTTCCCCTCTCCCACCCGCACCCCTCCCCACCTTCACACCCGCACCCCTCCCTTCTCCCACCCGCACCCCCCTCCCCTCTCCCACCCGCACCCCTGCCCTCCCCACCTTCACACCCGCACCCCTCCCCTCCCCTCCCCCACCCGCACCCTTCCCCTCCTGTTAAAGATCACCATTTCTCTCTTCCAACGTGCGATGTAAGGCACTTTTCTGCACACACGTGAACGTCGAAGCGGCTGAGGGACACATAATGAGACATAAATGAAACGCCCGAAAAACGCCTGCGTGAAACGTGAGCTCAGGCTGTGTCCGGAGCTTGACTGAGATGAGACAGAAGGCGCAAGTTTCTGAGATTTGGATGCGTCAAACATGAGCCAGTTCTTAATGCTGCAGCTGAACAACCTCCTTTTCTTGAGTCACACGTCTGTTCTGGTGCCGTTTTTCAAAAACATCAGTAAAGCCTGTTTTGGTGTCGTCGCCGTGCAGAAGCCACACTACAACGCCAGGGGTTAAAACACCCGCTCCGTTTGCTGGCGATTGCGCAGTGGGCGGGGCTCAGTAGGCGGGGCCGTGCGGGTTGCGTCCGTGGTCGTTTCTGTGGCCGCCGTGACTGGCAGGCCAGCTGGGGCCTGGACTTCCGGCATCTCCAGGTAATCAGGGCCCCTCCACGTGGCCTCCCGGGGCCCCTCTGGGAAGGCAGCCTGGGGCCCCTGGGAAGCAGAGACAGGTGCCAGAGCTCCGAGGCCCAGGCCTGAACCCAGTGCTGTGCCAGCTACCACACCGGGGCCCTGCCCAGGTTCACAGGGAGACACACAGAAATGCGGGAGTCCGGGGAGCCTGCGCGGTGGGAGCGAGTAGCCAGAGTCCCACAGGTGCCCGGGCCCCTCCCAGAGGCCCCAGCCCAGCACATCTAGAGCCCTCCCCTGAGAAACCCCAGACAGCCAGGTTCGCCCCAAACCCCCAAACCCAACATGATGGGACCGCAGCTCGCCCCCACCTCACGGCCGCCGCATTCTCTGGCCCTGGACGT